CACCGCCCAAAAGTGCCCACGGAGTTTTATCTTCGCCTTTTAGTTTTTCCCAAATTCGCGTGAGGATCCTTTTGCGCTGCTGATCCTTTAGTGCTCTCCCTTGGCTGCGGGACCCGTCCCCGCAGGGTGGGAAGGGGGGTTTTGGGGGGGGACAGGCAGCTATTGCCAACTTCAGCGCGGTCCCAGGGCTGCAGTAACATCCCCCCGGGGGTGGGCAGAGCTTCGGGCCAACCCTGGCAGCAGCTGGGGATGGTGCAGGGAAAACCCTCTTCTCCCCCATCTCCCAAATCCCTGCCTGAAGCGCGGTCTGGCCCCGCTGGATGAGGAGTGTGTCTGCTGAGCCAGGTTTATGTAAGCCCTGATTTGCGGTGCTGAGGGATGCCTCAGAATCAGCTCGCCTTTGGAAAATGCATAAATACATGGCATCTGGCCCAAGGCTGTACCAGGAGCCCAGCATTTGTCTTGTTCCCAGAGCCTTGGAGAGATTCTGCCATCTCTCACCTGCTCTCAGCTTGGCCTCGAGTCTCTATCGAGTACTTTCCAGGCACAGGAGTGCCAAGAGGCACTGTCACTCTGTCCTCTCTAGTGGTATCTAGCGTTGCTTTGCTGGCAGACTCGCTGGTGCTCCTTGTGTGGGACCATGAAGTCCCCTCCAGCTGGAGGTGCGGTGCTGTAATGCGGTCCTCCCTTGGCACCTCCTCCTGAGCGGCAGGATGCTGGGCCAGGCGGGTCCCCAGTCAGTCCCAGGGTGGGATGGTCCTGCTTTTCCTGTTATTAACATCAGGACAATGTCACAGCACCTTCCTGGGCAAAGGTGCTGAGCCCCATCACCAGGAGCTGGCTGCAGATGGAGATGGCATGTTCAGACCATGGGTAGTGTTCTTCCCTTCTTGTAGCACGGAAGTGAAGGCAGGATTAGCTAATGCTGTGTATTCCAAGAGCCAGGGATTAGGGAAGAGAGCTGCCTTCCAGCCCTCTGGAGAGACAGGTTCCTGATCCTGCATTGCCTGGTGACCCAAAGTGAGTGCGACCCAGCTTGGGATCGGTGGGGCGACGAGCTGTGTTTGCTGGCAGGCTGAACGTTGGCACCTCGCTGCTTTTTGTTGCAGGTGGGAAGGCAGCAGCAGCTCACCATGGCCCTGGCAGACAACGCGGGCTGTGCCAAACCCAGCGAGGACTTCCCTTTCCCCGAGATCATTGAACTCAATGTGGGTGGACAAGTGTACATCACCCGCCACCCCACCTTGGTCAGCGTGCCCGGCTCGCTCCTCTGGGAGATGTTCACCCAGAAGAACGTCCGATCCTTGGCCCGTGACAGCAAGGGACGGTTCTTCGTGGATCGGGATGGTTTCCTCTTCCGCTACATCTTGGATTACATGAGGGACCAGCAGCTGGTGCTGCCCGACCACTTCCCGGAGAGGAGCCGGCTGCAGCGAGAGGCCGAGTACTTCATGCTGCCGGAGCTTGTGAAGATGCTGGCCCCCAAGCTCAGCAAGCAGAACTCGCTGGGGGATGACCCATGCCAAAGCGACCCCGAGGAGCTCTCCCCCAACGCCGATACCACCCGCAACCTGTCCTCTGCCAGTGCCACGCTCCCCAGCGCCGTGGCTGGTCACGTCACCTCCAGCGCAGGCGCTGCCGGCACTGACATCCGCAGGGCAGGGTTCATCACCATCGGCTACCGAGGGTCCTACACCCTGGGCAGGGACAGCCAGACAGATGCCAAGTTCCGCAGGGTGGCACGGATCATGGTCTGCGGCAAGACCTCACTGGCCAAGGAGGTCTTTGGTGATACCTTGAATGAGAGCAGGGACCCGGACAGGCCCCCGGAGAGGTACACCTCCAGGTACTACCTCAAATTCACCTTCCTGGAGCAAGCCTTTGACAAACTGGCCGATGCTGGCTTCCACATGGTGGCTTGCAACTCCACGGGCACCTGTGCCTTCGCCCACGACCAGACAGATGACAGGATCTGGACCTCTTACACCGAATATGTTTTCTATCGTGAGTGACATCAGAAAAACCCACCAACCCCACAAACCAAACACCAACTCTCCCTTTCCTCTCCTGTGCTGGCTGTTGCCTAGAAGGTAGACATCCAACCCCTGAATCCCAGCGTCCCCCCTTTGCCTCCTTTTGAGTTTGTTTTTGGATTTTTTTTTTCCCCCTTTCCTTCCTCCACGTTGAACCTGTTCAGCTCTTCCTTGTAGCAACCAGTGACCACCAACCTTCTTCCCTCTCTCTGACTTCGGCAGTAGCCGCCTGTAGCTCCCGACCTTCCCTGGATGTGTGGACTTGGACACTTATCGTGAACATGTTTTTTTTGGGGGTGGGAAGGGGAGGGTTTGGGGTGGGATGATGCACCGGACTCTGCTTGGGGCTGGAATTCCTGCAGCTGGATGAGCTTTTCCGTGTTGGACACCAAACTGGGCTCTTGCGCCCTGCAGCTGCCCAAGAACCTGCTGCAAATCCCTTGTGTTTGATCCAGCCAGGGCTTCGAGTGAGGAAGAGATGGTTTAAGGACATGGAGAAAGGTGGGAAGCAGAGAGGAGGGTGGGTGGGAGGGAAGATGAAGGCTGGAGGCACGGCTGGATTGCCATGAGCCCCCGTTAAGCAGCTTAGCGTTTAGACTGTCAGTGCTTGGGAAGG